CCTGGAAAGGACTATAAGGGAAAGCACCCCCAGGAAACCAGTAACTGTATGAGCACTCTTTAATACAAATCCTGTTAGTCAATATTCCTAATGCCCTTAACTGGCCTTCATCTAAATATATTACTTTTGTAATAGGGTCACTTGGGTGATACATGGCTCTGGGATAGTTCCCTTGATATAGAGTCCCTCCTCTATAAGTCTTTCCTGATTCCCCACCTACCCGGAGGAAGAAGTCCCACTGCAGGGGTTCTCAGTGCTCTGGCACCCTTCTGTACCAGAAGCTCAGTGCCACATTTATTTCTTTACCTGTCTGCAGTATCCACCCCTCCCATTCAACCCGAGCTACTACAGGTCAGAGACTTTAAGTGTTCATTTCTGTATCCGCAGGGCTTACTTTGTGCCTGTGACACAGTAAGTACTGAATGAATGATGCCAAATAAACACATGAATGATTCAATGAATGAATGACTAGAGGACAACAGGTCACAGTAAAAGCAGTGTCCCTCCCACTCACTTGGTATGCAGAGGAGGGGTGTAGAATGAGCCACAAGTAAAAGACAACCCATAAAGGAGAGAAACCAAGCCCCTCCACCAGGGGACCGAGCGTGTGCCTCCACAGCCAGGCCTGAGCCTGATACTCAAAGACAGACTCACTGGCGAGTGGCCGGAACTGAATCCGCTTACTCTTGGTTTTCACTGGCACTGGCTTGTATTTGCACTTGCCTGGAGGTGCTCGCCTAGAAACACAGACGGAAAGGTTGAGGACACAGACTCTGATGATGCGAGCAGGAAATCAAGGTCACCAGAAGGCATNAGGATCCGAACCCGTGGCCTTGGTGTTATCAGCACCGCACTCTCCCGAGTGAGCCATGGGCCGGCCTGTATGAGCACTCTTTAATACAAATCCTGTTAGTCAATATTCCTAATGCCCTTAACTGGCCTTCATCTAAATATATTACTTTTGTAATAGGGTCCCTTGGGTGATACATGGCTCTGGGATAGTTCCCTTGATATAGAGTCCCTCCTCTATAAGTCTTTCCTGATTCCCCACCTACCCGGAGGAAGAAGTCCCACTGCAGGGGTTCTCAGTGCTCTGGCACCCTTCTGTACCAGAAGCTCAGTGCCACATTTATTTCTTTACCTGTCTGCAGTATCCACCCCTCCCATTCAACCCTGAGCTACTACAGGTCAGAGACTTTAAGTGTTCATTTCTGTATCCGCAGTGCTTACTTTGTGCCTGTGACACAGTAAGTACTGAATGAATGATGCCAAATAAATAAACACATGAATGATTCAATGAATGACTGACTAGAGGACAACAGGTCACAGTAGAAGCAGTGTCCCTCCCACTCACTTGGTATGCAGAGGAGGTGTGTAGAATGAGCCACAAGTAAAAGACAACCTATAAAGGAAAGAAACCAAGCCCCTCCACCAGGGGACCGAGCGTGTGCCTCCACACCCAGGCCTGAGCCTGATACTCAAAGACAGACTCACTGGCGAGTGGCCGGAACTGGATCCGCTTACTCTTGGTTTCACTGGCACTGGCTTGTATTTGCACTTGCCTGGAGGTGCTCGCCTAGAAACACAGACAGAAAGGTTGAGGACACAGTCTCTGATGATGCGAGCAGGAAATCAAGGTCACCAGAAGGCATACATTTGCAAGAATTGGGGTCAGCCCTCACTCATCTGTGGGGATGGGGTAGATGTAGTAGGAAATACACCACGAGCTCAGGTGGAGAGGAGAAAGGGCCTCAGGAGACAGTGCAGTGAGGGGTTAGGAGCATGGTGCCAGACAATTGGGTTCAAATCCTGGTGACCAGGGGCAAGGAAACCCTGCAAAGTTTCAATTCGCACATCTGTAAAATGCAAGAAATAATACTACCCATCTCGTGGGGAGATGGTGAAGATGAAATGAGAGCTGTGTATCTGGCACACAGCAGTGATTGACGGAAATTAAAAAATACTTGGAACAGCGCCCAGGACATAAGAAGTGCTCAGATGATGATGATGATGATAATTCTGCTGCTTTTCATGGTG